GCATTTGACACCACATATTTTTCAAAATATGGGGGGGATCAGGGGCAATGTACAATTGCTGATCTTCATTTACTGGATGTGGAAATCTTGAAGTACATTGTTCCCACAAACAGTGGACCCCACGTTGATTCCACATTCCTTGATTTGTGGGACCCATGTCAGATGATAAACAAACCACATTTAATCCTTGAGCATGTAATTTGTGAATGATATCCTGTAAAAATTCGTATAATATAGAGGAGTCCAGTGACTTCAATGTGAGAGCGTAAGCTAGCGGCTGTTTCCAATGGGAGCTGAGACCTCGGGCAATGACAGCTAGTGCATTTTCAGCTTTGCATCCTGCTTCATCCTCATTACGTGCTAGTTAAGGCGTTACTAATTCGATATATTTCTTCAAGCCTCGATCGTAATTAACGCGTGGTCGAATTTTCATTTCGTCGAAGCTCAGAACACACAAATTACCATTTGGTGTCTGGTCTTGCGAGATTTTTTCTCCCAGCCATTGAATCATCTCGTCTGCGTTTCCTGGCTCAAAACGAACGTGGGCAATACGACGAAAAATCGAACTATACGCTGGCCCGGGATATCCTTCTTCTTTTCCCAGATATTTGTATCCATCTGCGCCTACTTTGCATCGTCTACGAATGACCTCCCGTATTGTTTCTTCACTCCAAAGTCTGGTATTGTTGGCGGGATCTTGAAGTTCCAGAAATGAAATTTGATCTGGATACAAAAATTATGCCAGTTTTTTTTCATATTCTCTGCAAGTTTCTCCAAGTACGATATCTCCAATATATTATATGACGATTTCCATGAAAGGTAATTTCTACTATTTTTGGAACATAAAGATTATGAAATTTCGTAAATATTATGGAAATTAAGGTTATAGCGTTTTTTTGCAATCTCGCAAGTCGCGTCCCAGATTATCATTTTCCTCTCTCAATTGCATGAGCTCGTTTTCTCTATCGCTAGTACCCTCGAGAGAAAAACTCCCATCCAGAGAATCTGCATCTGGTTGTTCTTGTATTGTAACAGGTCCGAGTCTTTTTGGCGGATTATCAATGAAGATATCTGGCACAGCATCGAGTCTTAACTTTTTGCTCTTGTTGCGAATTTCTCACTGAGTCTCACTAAAATGTCCCTGTAAATTCAATTGACACTGAAATTGTATCCAAATTTTCGAATAACATTGTTATAAAGCTCTACGAAAATTTGAAAAAATTAACATCTTGTTTTGAAGTGTTCAGAAGCCCCAACACCCAAAATTTCCCGATAAAAAAAATTTTTACAATCAAGTACACAATCCAATATATTGTGGAAATTAAATTACGTGAGAGTCTGATTGTATCGAGTCAACGTTATTGTGTAAACGATATTTTTCTAGTGAACGATTATAATATCCCCGGAACAAATGAAAATTCTACGAAAAATATTCTATTCTTTCCGGTCAATGGTGTTGAAATAAATTATGTTCACATCTAATCTAAATGAAGTGCAAAGGAATATTGTTGACCGTGTTTCCCCACAATTTTTAAAGATACATACCTCACATAAAAACACACACTCCGTTTTACATCTCTCGTTAACTGGTAATAAGTTCGCACAATTGTCAATCCACTTTTTACGTTTGTATGACTTTGTTACTAATGGCAGACGATAAAAAAGATAATTCTTTCGGGAAGAATTTCTGCAATTGCTGAGTGCACAAAGTTTTACCATATTATCCCACTACACGACTTGCTCAAACGAAAGGTCACATGAAGAATGAAGGAAATGCCAACTTACCTCGTGGAAAATCTTGCTGCCTAGCTGAAGGCGTTTTGGAAAATTATATGAAAAAAAATTTAAGAATAGGAAATTGGGAGAAAGGGTAGGACCAGAAAGAGACAGAATGTACATCTTGATATCACGTGTTGCAAAGTCTACTGGCGAAAGGTGGAGAAGAGTATAAAAAAAACACGACTGAAAAACAGGGAGGTTGGCTATGTGAGGCCCAACGGAATCGGCTACCTGGTCCCATATGCTCGGGTCACTTATACGACATGCAGGAGGGAAAATCTATGGGAGCAATATTCATGTTCATACATATAAATCCCTACATTTGAGAAGAAACACCTAAACCTTATGACAACAGGTTGAAAATTCATTTTACTTTATCATTTACTTGGTTTCTCTGTTGTAGGAACTTCTTCAGTCGCGATATATGCGTGGAAATCCATTTCCCTTCAGTCATATCACCAATTCAAATAAGAATGCATTGTAGATAATATATTCTCAATAGCCTAAATTATCCATGAACATTTTGATTTTGTCAATAGCTCAGCTGTTCGATAATCGTTAAAATGAAACACCTATGATAAAGAATTCATAGAAACAAATAGTGCATCCACTAGGAAATTTTATTGGCTTTGCTTGGACTTCTATTAAGAATTGTATCACAGTTTTGTCGATTCTCTTGACCAATTCAATAGCTTTTATGTACGTCTCTTTCATAGGAATTTTCAATGGAAAATACCTCCCCTAAAAAATCAGTAAATTTTGATTTTTTTTTCATGCAACATTATTTCATTAGACTGGAGATGAATAATCAGTGTTGCCTCTCAAATTGATTGAACTCTCATCGAAGTCTTTCATCCGATTGTTGATGAAGTTATTGCTTTGTTGTCTGCAATTCTGCAGATATAAAGTAAATAATATTCAAATGAGAGCTTGGAGACAGTGGGGACGGTAGGGAAATTGCGTGGCAAACAGGGAAGGCAGAGAAGCTGGAGTGGGGACAAGAGGAGCTATTGAAGCGACGCCTTGTGTTAGGAGTAGGAAATACTTTCTGGGGACACTTGAGATTACTTTCCTCTATTATACCTTACGTCATGACTTTCCAATCTGGAGCCGCCTCGGGCCCTCACCATAGCGATACAATAAACAAAAAAGTGCTCAAACACGTGTGGACCACATGAAACAGAGAACTTTCGAAATATTCTAGAACTGAGATTTTACGATTTTACGACCGTGACCGTTGATTTATTTGCTCTCTGAGTTTTGAATTTTCAGAGAAAAACTTTCTGTGATGTATTTTGGAGAGCAATAAATTTGGATTAAAACTGAAGTACTTGACATTTACGATTTTTCTGCAACGGTTTTTTCTCACGTTTGTGAAGTTATTTTCGCCCTTTGTTCATTGTTCCTTCTATTCTCGATTTTTCTCAGTATAGTGCACTCAAAGTATCATTTTAAATTATTTTCGATTAATAATTTGAATCTCGCGGACTATTATGGTCGATTTATAGAGCCATCTATGAAAATCAACGTCGGGACGTTACATTGCTTAGCCTAGGGACTTTTGTAAGGAGTCTCGCCATCGCAGTGAATCTTCTTCTTTTTCGCTAATTATCAATTAATGAGGACGATTGATATTCGAACCAGTGTGCTAACAACTGTCCTTAAAATCAATTTTATATTATGTAATATTTGAGGGAATAACGATGAAAAGCGAGAATCGTCATTGAAATTTCATTCCATTGGTAGAAAGTACAAAGTCTCATATTTTCTTGAGTAATAACCCATACAGTAGCGATCACATTTCTTCTCCTAAATAGGCTCGCCTCCCTGCTTATTTTATAATCTCAATATTAAGTCAATACTCTTACCTAAGTGAAATGGGATTAGTATTTCAGTTAATGAGATGATTCTAATTCGCGACTTTCTTCATTTTTCTTATACACGGCATCGAGGAAGTACAAACGTCTAATTGTACGATTTGTACCTCCTTTTTTTTTACCATGGCTTAGCCCTTTATCGGTGGTTCTACCGATTTTTAAGGAATCGGCTCATTGTACGTGTTTCAAGAAAGAGACATTTTGGGAATCATACGTTTCAAGAATAACACGTGTGTAGGAGTAGATGTCTTGTCATGCTATAATATTTTTATCGTGTTGTAGTCAGTTACCAATATCTAGAAAATTAGGCAATTGATATTATCTTTTCAGTAACGAAATATATTGATGATCATACGTATGACATTGTGACGTATTGAGATCGATCAATACGTCGATTTATTTAATAAATACAATTATTATGCCCAAAGTGGGGGACGATGGGAACGGGAAACGAGGTTTCTCATTCCCTTCATCCAAAGATTGCTCAGCAGTCCCACGGTGTCCCATGGACACCAGCGTAAGCAGTTCCACGGTTTCTACAGGTCCAGTTCAGGGTGCTGAACTGTTTGACTGTGTAGGTTTCTATACAAATGAATGCACGAAACCGTATTAGTGAAGGAAACCGTGGGATTGCTTAGGTAAGCATTTTGGGACTTTGACGAGTTTGGACGACTCGGGAAGCACCAGAGTACGTCAGAGTACGATCAGGAGCGAAACAGAGCGGATCTCTGAGCTCAGGCCTTCAGCCAACCAATAACAAAGTCGAGTCAAGGCCCCAAAGTCGAGTCAAGAACCGCGTTATACCGACCCATTAAACACTACCGTGTATAAATTAAAGTTAATATATAGTTATTTTACCAACATCAGTACGGTCGGTTTAATATCGTTAACCCTCCCTCTATCCTTCACTTATCCCTCCGATTGAGCGAACCACCCGTGAGCTCACCGAGACTAGCCGAGGTCGGAGTGAAAACATGAGATTATTAAAGGACAAATAAACTCATTTCGTCACAAGATAAAATGAGAAAGTCGAATAGGTATTGTAATTCTTAATTTTTGTAAGAGGAATTGCTACATATTCATTCAGAAACTTATTACGAATGGAAATGGAAGAAGAAAAATAAATTGATAATGCACAAAATAACGGTCACATAGGTTCTGCCTAATAGGCTCGCAACCCTGCTTGTATTAGTGAGATATTTAATATTCAAGACCAATAAAAGATCTTAAATTTTGTGATCCATCGATCTCAATATAAGACCGTTTTTTTTTCAGCGTACGTTTTACCATTCCAGTACATTTCCACTCAGTACATTTTCATTCAATTTCGTAACGTTGTTGCAGATAGTTTGCAGCCACCTGAGGGCCTCAAACAAGTTCTATTAGAGAAGGGACCAGAGGGCTTTGCCAAGGCTGTTCGTGAGCATAAAGGACTTCTCCTCATGGACACAACTTTCAGAGATGCGCATCAATCACTCCTCGCTACGCGAGTTCGCTCCCATGATCTTCTGAATATCTCACCATATGTTGCTCATAAATTCTCCAATCTTTATGCACTGGAGAATTGGGGAGGTGCCACTTTCGACGTTGCTCTGAGGTTCCTCCATGAGTGCCCTTGGGAAAGATTGACCGAAATGAGGAAAGCTATTCCTAATATTCCATTCCAGATGCTTTTGAGGGGCGCCAATGCCGTTGGCTACACCAATTATCCGGATAATGTCGTCTACAAGTTCTGCGATCTTTCAGTACAATGTGGAATGGATATTTTTAGAGTCTTCGACTCACTAAATTATCTTCCTAATTTAGTCTTGGGTGAGTTTTTGTCTTAATTGATTAGCCTTCCGTCCGCACCTATGGGTCATTCGTGCCCTTGGCAGATCGATGGTTCAAAATTTCCGGAAAATGCAACTCGCTAAAGATTTTAGCCCTGTCTGAAAAATGAGAAAAATAGTTCTAAACCGAATAAGGATTAGAAAAAAATTCTCTATGAAATAAAAAATCAGCAGAAGTGGGACCATCGTCTTTGGCGCGGATCAGAAGATAGAGGATGACATTGATACTAGGCAGCGAAGTGAAAAACTCTGCGCCAAGGAAGTTGGTCCTGCTTCTGCTGTTTTTTTATTCCATAGACAATTTTTTTCTAATCCTTATTCGGTTTCGAACTATTTTTCTCATAGCAATCTGATTGTGCACTATAGCCATTTATTCGACATTTCCGACTTGGTTTTTTTTTATTTGTTTGTATTTTTCAAAAATTTTCACTTTTCAGTAAGAACCAAACAAAACTTTTCCTAGGCGCAATTTTTTTTACAAAAACATTTTTTTTGTTTTTTAGGGAGATTTCATTAATTTTTTCCAAATAAGCAAAGAATTGTCTTCATATTTTGTGAAAATTGTTCTTTAAAATTCAATTCAGCTAATTTTCACAAGATAGAACATACTTCCAATTAACAATTAAAATAGTAGTTCGCGACCCGAAGGCGAGCGACGGTAAAGTTCATATCATCAGGCCATCTTTTTTACGGTGCATGACTTGTACGATATTTTTCATGCTTCTGTATGGCAAATTTACGCCCGCGAAAAACATGACCTGCGCAGAAAAATTGAATTTGCCGCGCAGAGGTATGAAAAGAAACTAATATACACCAGATTAATTATTTCCACCGACTTTTGATTGTTTATCTAAGATTTTCTGACTTACTTTGTTCCTTCCATTTAATTTTTCCTTTAATTTTCTATGGTAATTGTATTCTTTTGAGAGATGAATTGATTTTATTTGCGGAACAACCGAACAAAATGCTTACGTAATGGAACTTTTTATAAAAACATCTGTTTTTTTTCCTGAGATATTACTAATTTTTTCGAAATAATCACAAAATCGTTTTCGTGTTCTTCGCATCTCACCGTAACCCCATGCAGAAATTTTTTCCCCACGAAATTAAAAAGATTTTAACACTTCACCACACAACTTTCGACAAATAGCACTCCTGTCAGATTCCAAACATAAATCATAACCTCACAAACTATCTTCATCTGCAAGGTACGGATAGAGATATGATGAGAAGAAATTTGAATTTTCGGCGAGAAAAAAAAATAGAATACAGATTTGATTTTTGCTTTTACTCTAATAAATGATATCAAATGAGAAAAAATATTTCTCGTGGTTTCTCCATAACAACATGACAACCCACGTTTGAACGCACTGGTGACAACACTTCGAGGTTGAATGTGAGACTCAGTTGGATCGACGCTGCCAACGTTGTAATGTGATTTTCCGACTTTATAATGTGTATCGCGAGAATGCCAATATCAATCTGGCACTATCCCCGTATCTTTTTTACTGTTCATCCAAAAACTACAATAATTACACCGTTAACAAGCTCATAGGCGATTTATGTGTAACTGAGGACACTTTTCCAATTTGTCGTCCCGTTCTTATTATACTGAATGAAAATCATTTAGAGGTAGTGGAGGGGAAGTGCTGTCATGTATAGATACGCAGTGCGCTCGGCCTGAGATGTTGGACCCTTGATGTCAAAACTTTTTCTTGGCCGATACTCTACCGCGTGTCTCGAAAGTGGCGAATTGCCCTGGTATCGAATATAGTATAGTAATTTTTGCTAATAAATTAGCAATATGCTTCCGAATCGTTATTTTGCACATCATTTCCTTCTATCATGTATAATTCATTGTTTATTTGATTATATTAATTATATTTGATTATATTAAGGGGATATAAAGGAAATATGTACACATAGAAATATTGATTTTCTACATGTATTTATAGTTTTTTTCTCTCTGGCGGTATGCCCTTATTTCACCGAAGTGAAATTTGAAAGTCTCTGTGTATTATAGACACAATTATAAAAGTTTGAATTTCGTTCATATTATAATAAATTGGAGCATCCCACTGGGGAGAAAAAATATAAATACGTATAAAAACACAATACTTTTAAAATCCGTCTATGATTTTTGTTTGTGCAAATATTTCAACTAGATGTAATCCAAATTTCAGCTCAATCGGTCTAAAATTGAGGCGCTAGGACGTTCTTATAGATTTTGACCCTTTAGAACCCTTCGAAAATCTCGGAGCTCAATTGTTTCTCACTGTACTTGTCGCCCCTAAATTGAATCAATTTCTTTTGGAATGTTTGGAGTTTTAACCGGAGGTAAAACTCTATGAAAGTTTCCTTTCCACTACACTTATTCCTGCACTGTAATCCTTTTATTCTTGGTCGTCACTCCAACCTCGACTACCTTCGGCGGTGAGCTCACGGGGGATTCGCTCACTCGGAGGGATGTCGTAAAGGATATGAAGGGGATAAGTTCTCAATAATCACTCGCATGCTCAATACTGAAAGGGATGATCTATTAAACTAGTTGTTGATACACGATAATGATCAAAATAGGTTGATATAACGCGTTGCTAAATTGTCCGCGACTCAATCTTGGGACCTTGACCCGATTGTATGGCTTAAGGCCTGAGCTCAGAGATCTGCTCTGTTCTGCTCTTGATCGTACTCTGCTCTCTGGTGAGTCCAGAAAACTCGGTAAAGCTCGTCAAGGGCCCAAGTTGCTTAGCTAAGCAGTCTCACGGTTTTCTTCACTAATCCTATTTTTATGTCGTCAGTGACATGAACTAAAACAGTCAAACAGTTTAGTTCACCTGAACTGGACTCTGCCTAACCGTGGAACTGCTCACCAAGATGTCCAAACGACACCGTGGAATTGCTGACCAGCGTCTGGATGACAGGAAACAGAAATCATATTTCTCATTCCCAACACTCAGACACTCACAGATTTAAAATTATTAGATATAAATCGACCTATTGGTCGATCCCAATACGTTACACTTCCCTGATAAAACTATTGTTATCCTTTGGGATACAATAGTAACAGTTTTCTTTTTTGAGACTTCTTCCAAGTTCAAGCCAGATGGGCCTGTCTTATGCCTGAAGGGCTATGAATTCCCGATCATAAGGGCTAAAAATCCCTGCTTTATGAGCAATAGGTAGATGCAAGTAGTTGCGTTGACTTAATTATTTCATGGTGAAATTTAATCCTAACCCTATCGACCGACCCTTACAACAGATTTGTAGTACATTATTTGGATGAGCAAATGACTCGATACATTATGTTTCAAATAAACCTATGTCCTTGGTCCTGGTCTTCCTTCTGCGTTTGGATCCTGTCGGTTACCACCCACTCAAGTCTCTCCCTGCTAAGTATTGGGGAGCAACTATTTGTTCACCTCAATGTGGTTCAACCATATTCCACCCTTCAGGTGTGGCTCGAGTTACGTGTATTCTAGGCATGAGCCGTCGCTCGTATGCCTGGACAGGAATCAGTTGGTTTTGGAGAATCAGCGGTCCTATGTCTCCCACTGAGGTCAAAGTGTCGACTGAGTAGGTACGATCCGTCATCTCCAGAGGTCTCTCTGGTTCTAGGATCTCGGTGATGGTGGCTGTGGGAGCAGGTCTTGTCGCCCGCACCACTGGTCTCATTGGGATGTATACCTCTCGCGTTGCCTGGTGGGTCGAGTGCTCTGGTAGAGCTCTCTCATGTAATGGTATTCCGGCTACCTGTCTTCGAAGGGTCTCTCGACTCGTCCTGGTACTTGAACATACCTCAATTCCCCGACACAACATAGCGATCTTTGACCATAACGAGAATTTTCATATTATTCCGGTGATTATTCCGAACGTATCTAAGGTAATGCCTGCCAATCCTAATCAGTTTTCTACCCTCGTTATTCACCTATTTGTTATTATTATTTAAAGAAAAAAATTTTCGACGAATAGTTATTTTCCCCCTTTGTTTCTTTTCTGTCATTCTATCTTTTATCATCTCATCATTCCTCCCCTTCTTATTTATGGTTGAGTTCTCTACTATTATTATTGTTCCTTAAAGAATCGACCGAAAATAAGAACTTAACGAGAGAATAATAAAAGATCTCGGTGTTCAAATTTAAAAATGTTCCTAGCCTGTCTCCGGCGCTCAGCCGTATTCTCCGCTCGGATGCGTCGCTGACGATCAGCTGTGGGCGCGTCCGGCGCGTCGTCGCGTTAATACAGCGTTGGGCGGCCGCCTTGTCATGCCGACGCATGGAATTACCCGGAGGTTAAGCAACTAATTTCATGCCTCCTCGTAGCCAACTTCATATGGCAACTCCATTTAATGTTTAATTAATATATATATGTGTATATGTAAATGATAACGGAGTTTACTCTGAACTGTAAATTAAAAATAAACATTTATGAACAGTTATTATAAACAGTTTCTACTCGCAGAAAACTGTCATTAATTTTTAATAAAAAAAAACGTTTCATGAAACCTGGCCAGAGAGCGAGAAATCGGGTTTAACGTTGTGAATTCCCGCGCGTGTCCTCCTTTTTCCTACGGTAATATTTTTTTGTCTACCCTATTTTACCGGCCTCCCTGTTGCTTAGCACCGGGCGCGCGTCGAAATTCCGAAGTTGGTGACTCTCGTGCAGTCAAAACAAAGATAAGGTCTTGTAAGTCCGTTTCTCTTTAAATTATTTCCCAATAATAAAGGAAACGCCACTTAGGCAATTATTTGTACCCTCCCGGTACTCTTTAGAAAAAAAAGCGAGAATTATACTTGAGTATAATCTCCTGTTTATCTGTCCAGGACCCGTCTCGCTGACCTCAAAGGAAAGATGATGGCTCTGGCAGATCGTATGTTACCATGAAAGAGTGGTATCAAATTTCATTCTCAACAGATTTCTTTTATTTATGTACTCTCGTTATTTCTACATTTTTATTAGGACATTTGGGCTTAGACTTGGACC